GAGAGCAAGAGGTTTCAGAGTAGCAGCCGTGTTAGTCTGTATCCGCAAAAAGAACAGGAGTACTTGTGACTCCTTAGAGACTAACAAGGGAGCAAGAGAGATCCCTGCAATGGAAAACAATTGATAGGAACGTAGGTTTTTAATGCTTACTCAAAACACTTTTCTTTGGCAGGTAAATACGGTTTTAAAATGTCATGGTTAGAACAGAGGTGTGACTGTTTACATGCTAAAATGTGAGGAGATTGGATCCAGGATGATTTCTATAGCATAAAAGCTGTCAAATCTGTTGTGTGGTAGGTTGAGAGAATCGCTTACAAAGGACTGTCTGGAAAGCAGTTCGGAGCTGTAGCTGTCTGATTTGAAAGTGCTCAGGAGGAGAATCCACATGGATGACCATCTCATTTATTTGACTAGTTCAGCTCTAATGATCATGCGGTCCCATTAGCACATATATAATGGTAGTTTGGATACTGTATATTTTCTCACTTAGAGTTGGAATTTGAAAGGACACTCTTTTAGACCTGAAATTGTCAAGTAACCCAAAGAATTACCTTATCAGGTTGGACTTACTGTAAGTCTCAATATATTTTTCTGGAATTAAAGACTTGTATTTTATATCTGATACTTGTAGAACCTTTTCTTGAAATAAGTCTTTCAGTTGTGAACAAACAAGTACACAGTCTCCAGCCTTAAAGATTGTATCTTGGTTTACAGTACAAAACGGTTCCCGAAGTAAAGTTCTGTCCCTGGGATTGTTTGGGATGAGAGTGCTGTATAGCTTTGAAGGCAGATTGGCTTTAAGGAGATCACACTCCCAACTTAAGTGGCCCCTTTAAAGACGGAAAGCAAGTGTACCTTCTGCTAATAGTGCTGTAGGGACCCAGAATAATAACTAGTTCACATCCTGCTTACCTGCTCTCTAATCATCCCCAACCCCTTTCTGTCCAGGAAGTGAGCATGTACTTGTTCAGATTGCTTATGTTTGTCTGCTGCAAGGATTGGTTGTGAGGAAAATTAGTTATTTGAGAACTAAGGTAAGATCTGCATGCCATATAACATAAAACAGTTAGGAATATAGTACTGGAAGGGACCTCCTCTGTGACAGCATGGCGCATATTAAATGGCTTAAAAATTGGTTAACAGATAGGTCTCAAAATGCAATTGTGAACAAAGGAATCATTGAGTGGTTGTGTTTCCAACAGGGTCTCACAGAGATCAGTTTTTGGCCTGGTGCTATTTTTATTAATGATCTGTAAGAAAACAAAATCATCATTGATAAAGTTTATAGATGACACTAATTGGGGGAGTGGTAAATAATGAGGAGTACAGGAGTACAGACTGAGAACAATCTGGATCATTTGGGCACATGCAAACAACATATGTTTTAATACATCAAGAAACACAGAATGCAGGCTATACTTACAAGATGGGGGACTCTATCCTGGGAAGCAGGGACTCTGGAAAATATTTGGAGGGCATGGCGGCTAATCAGATGAACATTAGCCCTTTTGGCCACAGCGTCACACTGGGAGCTCATGCGATTTTAGGATGCATAAACAGGAATCTCGAGTTGGAGTAGAGAGGCTATTTTACCTGTATATTTAACACTGATGCAGCCACTGCTGGAATCCTGTGTCCAGTTCTGGTGCCCACGATTCAAGAAGGATGTTGATAAATTGGAGAGTGTTCAGAGAAGAGCCACCTGAACGATTAAAGGATTAGACAACATAACTTATAGTGTTAGAATCAAGGAGCTCAATCTATTTAGCTTAACAAAGAGAAGGTTAAGAGGTGACTTGATTACAGTCTATAAGTACCTACATTGGGAACAAATATTTAATAATGGGCTCTTCAGTCTAGCACAGAAAGGCTGAACATGATTCAGTAGCTGGAAGTTGAAGCTAGGTAAATACAGACTGCAAATAAATCATATATTTTTAACAGAGTAATTAACCATTGGAACAATTTACAAAGGATTTAGTGGATTCTCCACCAGTGGCAATTTTTAAGTCAAGATTGGATGATTTTCTAAAAGATATGGTCTAGGAATTATTTGGGGGAAGTTCTCTGGTCTGCCTTATACAGGAGGTCAGACTGGATGATCACAGTGTTCTCTTCTGGCCCTGGAATCTGTGATTCTGTTAATAGTCTTCCGTCACAGTCAACCTGGTCACATAATTTCATTCATAAACTTGATCAGTCTCCATCCTAAAACCAGCTAGGTTTCTTGCCCCCACTAGTCGTATTGGAAGTCTATTCCAGAAACTCATGCATCTGATAGATAGAAATCTGCTGTAATTTTTCAGTCTAAATTAATTAATGGTCAGTTTATACCAATTTGTTCTTATGCCAACATTGTCCCTTTGCAGAAACATCACTTCTCTCTCCCTGGTGTTTACCCCACTGATGTGTATACAGAGAGCAATCATACTCTCAGCTTTTGTTTTGCTAGGCGGAACAAGACAAGGTCTTATCCAATCCCGAGACACACAAGCTACCGTGTCTCCTCTTGTAAGATAAGCTTTCTATTCCCCTATCCTAGTAGCCTTTGTCTGCACTTGTTCCAGTTAGAATTAATCTTTCTTGAACATGGCTGACCAACACTGTACACAGCATTCCATCTGAGGTCTTCACCAGTGTTTTCTACAATGGTACTAATACTTCCCTGTTTCTACTGGAAAAACCTCACCTGGTAAATCCTTTGATTGCATTTGCCTTTTTTTGCAGCTGCATCCCATTGGTGACTCATAGTTTTCCTAATATACCCAGGTCTTGCTCCTCCTCTGTAGCTTCCAACTGATGAGCCATTCGCTTATAGCAGAAATTCTTACTAGTCCTTAAGTGCATGACCTTACACTTGGTACTGTTAAATTTCATTCCATTTCTGTTACTCCAGTGGTAGTTCTGATGACTTTGCCATTGTCCCTTTCATGTGTGCATCATTTTCATGTGCAGTGTTGAGGCTGAGGGATACAATCTAGCTGCTATGATCCTGTTATTCTGTGCTGTCAGTCACAAAGTATTGAAATTAGAGAAAGGGAGGGCCTCTGCTCTAGTTCATCCCCTTGGTCAAAATGCAGTATTATTGCCTACATAGTTTAATTTTATGCTAATCTTGCCATCTATAACCCTGGGCAGCCATAAACTCCTTAAAGGAGTTGTACCTGTTGTCAGTGGTTATGGTAATCTTGGGTTCCAAGTCAGAAATAAAACTTCGGTTGAATAAAACTGGATTTTAATTCTTCAGTGCCTGGTTTGTGTTTATGGTTTGTCTAGTCTTTTATAAAAGTCTTTTTGGTAAGTGAGCATGAAAGGGAGGGACTTAATAGCACTGGTGTGAGTCAAACCTGTTTGCAGGTGGATGTTGTGCAAACTCCCTATTCACTTTCTGTAGCTCATTGAATCATAGAAGATTAGGGTTGGAAGAGACCTCAGGAGGTCATCTAGTCCAACCCCCTGCTCAAAGCTGGACCAGCCCCCCACTAAATCATCCCAGCCAGGGCTTTGTCAAACTGGGCCTTAAAACCCTTGAAGGATGGAGATTCCACACACCTCCCTAGGGAACACAGTGAAATAGTGTTTCCTAATATCCAACCTGGACCTCCCCCACTGCAACTTGAGATCATTGCTCCTTGTTCTGTCATCTGCCACCACTGAGAACAGCCGAGCTCCATGCTCTTTGGAACCCCCCTTCAGGTAGTTGAAGGCTGCTATCAAATCCCCCCCTACCCCCACACTCTTCTGCAGACTAAATAAGCCCATTTCCCTCAGCCTCTCCTCATAAGTCATGTGCCCCAGCCCCCTCATCATTTTCATTGCCCTCCGCTGCACGCTTTTAGTCAGGAATTGAGGCAAAAACTTTGTTCTATTCTACCAAGGTAAGAATTTTGGTAAAGTCAGATGGGACTTCTGTATAGTAAGTACATCTGTGATGCATGCAGCTCACAGCATGGAAACCTTACAGTTGGAGGGTGATGGCAAGTTATCTGTGACAATGTCCAAAGAATATAGAACAGTTTGTGTTTCCTAAATTGACCAAAAAAACCCCAAAGCTGTTGGATATCTGCATTTACATTTGCCATGAACAGCCATTAGCTACAAAGGTTCTACTTAAAATCTTTTTAAAGTGCATCTTGGCTATTATTCTCTTACTTTCTCTGTGAATGTTCTGCATAAACTCCAGATGTTTAGATTAGATTATTATTTTAGATCTTGTCATACAGGTAGGTTTCCATTAGATGAGACTTTTTATTAGGTCACTTGAAGATGCCTATTCATCGTTCTGTGCTGAGCTCCTGCATTACCTAATTCCTTGTTGCCTGCTTATAAGCTCTAGATTTCTGTTTCATTAAAAGAATTAACAAGTAGCAAGATGGACTGAATTCGTGATAACTGAATTTAGGTTTCAGGCTTGCATTTTTCTCCCTGAAGAATTCTCCTCCATCTGACCTCTTTAGATGGGTTTTTGAATTATTATTATTAGATTATGTTGAGTTATTTCTCCTCTGAGGATGGCAGATGGTAATTTTCTTGCAGCTTGAACCTGCATGAAATTCTTAGGTTAGATGTAAATATATTAACCAATCATCCACTGTGTATTAGAGTTTTGCTTATTCAGTTACTTTTGTTAAAGGGTGACTTTTTTTCAAAAAGATTTAATTTATCCAAGTGAACTTTGTCAAAATATTTAATAAAGTTTTAAAGTACAGATTTTTCTGGTAATCCTGTTTCATTTTATGAGCAACATAAATTAATAACTGCATTATATAAGGAGTTAAGAAATGTAATCTGAAATAATTAATTACTTTTTAATTAGGAATATTTTAATTGATCCTTCGTTATTCTGTCTTAATAATGTGGCAAGGCAGCAGGGTTTATAAGTAAATTAGCATGTGCTGAAATTTTACTTGTTACTCTTCTTTCATATTAAGGTTTTGGGACGGGGTGGAGGCTTGCAATTATAAAGATACTTAATTTTATATTGCTGAATGATTTTTCAGATGAATGCACTGGACACACTTGGTCAAACAGCTTTGCATAGGGCTGCTTTGGCAGGTCACTTGCAAACCTGTCGCCTCCTGCTGAATTACGGCTCTGATCCCTCCATCATCTCCTTACAAGGTTTCACAGCAGCACAGATGGGAAATGAAGCAGTGCAGCAAATTCTAAGTGGTGGGTAGAAATAGACTTCATATTTTAACCTTCTCCCTTTTTTCCCCCCTCAGTTGTAATAACTTAAACGTGATTTCTCTGAGACTGATTCTTTTGGTGTTATATAAAGTTTTGTCTTCCCTCTGCTACCGCACCACACGCACAAATGTCTGCAGTTTACTTTGTGTTTGATACCTTTTATAAGGATCTGCTCTAGTTCTCCAGTTATTTTATGTAATAAAACACTGCCCAGTAGACATTTAAATGTAACCTGCTACATTGCAAAAAATCAATATTTGTTGAATGACCTGAATAACCCAAGGTGTCATAAATGTAAAGGTAAGGGAAAACACCTTTAAAAGCCTTCCTGGCCAGAGGAAAAACCCTTTCACCTGTAAAGGGTTAAGAAGGTAGGATAACCTCACTGGCACCTGACCAAAATGACCAATAAGGAGACAAGATACTTTCAAAGCTGGAGGGGGGGAGAAACAAAGTTTCTCTCTGTCTGTGTGTTGTTTTTTGCCAGGAACAGAAAAGGAATGGAGTCTTAGAACTTAGTAAGTAAGCTAGTTAGATATGCATTAGATTCTGTTTTGTTTAAATGGCTGAGAAAATAAGCTGTGCTGAATGGAATGTATATTCCTGTTTTTGTGTCTTTTTGTAACTTAAGGTTTTGCCTAGAGGGATTCTCTGTTTTGAATCTGATTACCCTGTAAGGTATTTACCATCCTGATTTTACAGAGGTGATTCTTTCACTTTTTCTTTCATTAAAATTCTTCTTTTAAGAACCTGATTGCTCTTTCATTGTTCTTAAGATCCAAGGGTTTGGGTCTGTGTTCACCTATGCAAATTGGTGAGGATTTTTTATCAAGCCTTCCCCAGGAAAGGGGGTGTAGGGTTTGCGGAGGATTTTGGAGGGAAAGACGTTTCCAAGCGGGCTCTTTCCCTGTTATATATTTGTTAGACGCTTGGTGGTGGCAGCAAGAAAGACCAAGGGCAAAAGTAAAGGAACCTTGACACAAGATAATAAGAATGGCAGAGAGCATATTTCTCATTTTACTCTTATTTATTTCTTCTGTCCCAAAGTACAGACCTGTGGATTGCTAGCTACAGCTGCCCTCTGCTCGGGATGTAATACCTACTAGAAACTGGACCCTACCTATAAAGATATTTGAGTCCCATTTCTAACATTTTGGATTTTTCTAAAGCTTTTAATATTGGTGGTGGGAAGACTCAAAATAAGAATACTTGAGTAAGTGTAGGTAGGTATATTTTGCATGTGAGAGTCATACGCTCTCCAGCTCCACCCCCATTTAACTGTCTTACAGATGATCTCTCCAGACATTAGCAGTGTCTGTTGTTACCAGAGTACATGCTGGGGCATCATACCTAGTATGAACCAGCACTCCAGAGAGCCTCTCTACAGATATGAAAGTATGGTTCCCATTAACTGTATAAATATGCTCGCTGCTTATCTTATCTGTAGTCATTTGGGGTATTCAGCACATAATTCTAAAGGATGTGTTTTTTTATCTTTGGAAGTTAGTTTTAAAGAGTTCAGAAGTGTTAAAAGAGCACAGATCAACATATTAAAATAACCATTCAGAAGAATTCCTGAAGGGGCACAAAGGTTAGATTGTTTTTTCTCAATTGCAAACAGATTATTTTTGGTTTGTATGATAAAAAATATCCAACAGGAAAAAACTTGTTTTAATATATGGAGCAGAGTAATTTAAATGATGCTTAAACTCCTAGTGCCTTTAGAAACACTAAATATTTCTTCTTATTGCTGTCTTGAGGTATAAGGCATGAGCAGAAAAATATATCAATAGTTGTAAAAGCAATCGACTCCCACTTCAGATGCTTTGATTATCCAGTAACAACTCACTGGATGTGATTTATAAAATCATAAAGTTTATATGAATTATAGAACAGCAAACATATGTGAAGAGTATCACTGTTTTCAGGTAGTTCATTAAGCACTTCCATCTTTTTGTGCATGTGCCTTTTTGCATGCCTGTATATATTACACTATTATTATTATTATTATTATTATTATTTGTACAAATTAAACAACACTTGGTAATGATTTTTGTATGCCGGGATTTGAAAGGAGCCAGTGAAAGCCAGTAGGAACTGGGCACCTATTTCCCTTAGTCTCCTTTGAAAATTGAAAACTTAAATGATACCATGGGCCTGTTGTTTTCTAGCAAAAAAAAAAATCTTCAATATGAAGGGGGTACCATTTTAAAAACCAAAGCTTGTAAAGTGTGGGTACATAAAGGAGATACGTACCTATGTATACATTAGATATGTATATCCTCTCTCTCTGTGTGATTTTATATATGTGTATTAGAGAGAGAGTGAGAAAGAGAAATAAAAATTTAGGGAATAAATTTGGAGAGGGTGATTAATCATGTTTCCCTTACTGTTAAAGAGATTATCGGAATTTAATTTCAAGAAGAGGTAAGGCAAAGCTTTAAAATTAAGCATTTTGAAAAGTAAGCACTTATTTGTCTTTTCTGTGAAAACTTTAATTTCTTCTTTGAGTGCTTGTTCATGTCCATTCCAATCAGGTGTGTGCGCATGCAGCATCCGTCGGGTTGGCCTGGGCGACCCACCACCCCCTCCATTCCTTCTTACCACCAGTGACGGTGGCTGGAACTCTCGCTCAGCAAGTTCGTTCTTTATCTGGTTGTATATAATTAGTTCGTTAGTGTTATTAACATTGTTAGTGTCTTAGTATAGAGTTTGTTGGGGGTTCTCCCCAACCCCCCCGCCACTCCAGTTCCCGGAACCGTGGTATGTCGCAGTTCCCGGGTTTCAAAACCTGTGTGGAGGCCAGAGACGATGCGGCCTTTGAAAGAGCAGTACTCCAATCCGTGGATAGCTCCAACCCCAGCTCCTAAATTTGGCTTGGGAGTCACCTGATTGGAATGGACATGAACAAGCACTCGAAGAAGAAAAAGCAATTACTCACTTCCCGTAATTATTGTTCTTCAAGATCTGGTGTTCACGTCCATTCCAATACCCAGCCTCCTACCGGAGCAGCCAGCAAGAAGGAACTGAGGGGGTGGCGGGTCCCCAGGGCTCAATATTAGGCGCCATGAAGGCACGACTCCAGGGAGTGTCCAGGCTGGCCCAACGGATGCTGCTAGGGGAAAAATCTTCCAGCCAACGTACACACGCGCGCGCACACACCTGATTGGAATGGACGTGAAAAACACATCTCGAAGAGCAACAGTTACAAGAAGTGAGTAGCCATTTTTTCGGACATCATGCAACGCTGGTTTTCAGCACAGGAGGCAGTATTTTTGCACTTGGGCAAAACTCCCACCTATCTCCCTCCTCCATATACACACGCAAACCCCACGCAAAGATTGGGGCTGACGTGATACACGCAAGGGCTTTGGTGTTGTCCTCAGAACAACAAAGGGTTGTTGAGCATGTTTTGTTCTGTGTTCCAGGTAATCAGATGTCTTAGTCCTGTTTATATATAAAAATCCTATAAATATCTCTGCAGATTTATTTTATATAGGATTCGTTTGAAGAAATATTTTTAAATATTCAATTTAGCTTGATGTAAAGACTCTTATTTAGCTCCATTATTGCATTACTGAGAAGTATTGGTTAAAATTATCTTGGAGTATGCTTGATTTTTTCCCCCCCCACATGTTTTACAAGCAGGGATATTTCACAGCTATGAGATCACAACCGTTCAAACAGCTTTCTGATGACCTCATGGGTGGGAGGTCTGTCTTTACTCAAACTGGTATTGAGATTTTGATTATGACCATGAAATGCAAATTTCTAATGTATGAAGGGTCATAAAATGGGCTGATTAGAAAGTTTTCTAAACGCCTGTAAAAAAAAAATGCTGTTTGTTTATCTTCTCTTAAAGCGTAAGTACCTTTGTTTCTTTGCTCAGTCAGCTTCTCAAATATTCAAAGCCTTTCCTTAATCAAATCTCAATCTGGTGGAGTTTTTAATTTCCATTTCCAAATTTAATTAGATTGTATTTCTGATTTTTGTGATCCTACCTTCATTTCCCGCTTGAAGTCAGTTCCTGGGCCATATTGTGGTGTTAGAGGGCAGAAGGCCAGAGAGCAGATAAGGAAACAACAGCTGAAGAGCCAAGTCCCAGGTGGTGTTCTGTGACCCTATCAAAGCAGTAAGATACTCTCCAGTGCAGCCTCCCTACTTCAAAGCTTTGAGGAGGCTGTGGTCAGGTGAACTCCAGCAGCTGTTGGGGAGAGGAAGGGAAATGGGGTAATAGACTCTTACTAAGATCATGACTGGAGGGAGAGGGCTAGAATCTGAACCCTCTAAAAATGAATTCGGTTCATGCCGTGGTCTGCCCAGGGCTGCTGATACTAGCAGGGAGCCTACTGCATCCCCTTCCAGCAGCTTTTGGCACATCATTTACTAATGTCCATGCTGGCGGCTGCCAGTGGTGCTAGCTTCCTGGGTAGGCTCAAAAGAAAGACTTAGCCTTTCTGGACATATCAGAGGTGCTGATCCCATTCCTAGAGGGTTAAGTTTTCATGAGTTTCCTCTGCCCTTGCTCTTAGTGAGCATTTCCCCACCTTTGCAAGTGGGTTCCTAGGTTCTGCCTTTTACCTTCCCCCGTAGCTAGCGCTGTCCATTTCTCTCTCCTTTCTCCTCTACCCCCCGCCACACACACACACACTCTCTCTCTCTCTCTCTTTCATAGAGACAGAGGGGAGGCAGATTAATTTACCTTTGTGGCAGGGTCCAAGAACAGCCGCTGGGATATCTACTGCCTGTGTGCTTTGCAACCTTCTGCCTGCTCTGTCATCACAGGATGTGTCAGGAAGAGAAAACAGGGTATACAAATGAGAAATACAACCTCAGATTGAACTGGCAAATCAATTTACATGCACAGCTAGCTGGGAATTCAGATGTCCATTTGTACTAGTTGTGCGCTTCTGCAAACAGTTGATTTCACTAACTGGTTAGAAATAGCAAAGTGAGAATTGTGGACGTTTTAATGACACCAGATCACTCTGTTTGTGTACTTGCAGAAGGTGCTTGTATGGTCTGTTGGGTTAATTTTTTTAATGATAGTTAAAGTTTTATACACATTTTTAAAGCTTTCTTTTTGTCCTTCAAGAATTACCTCTGCAGACCCGCTTTCTTGTGGGCATACTCCTTGGCACTGCAAGCTCTGAACCGTCTAGAAATAGTAGCCCCTGGGGCAGTGTGCCTGTGGTTTCAGGGCATATAAGAGACCCCATCCCCAAGTGCTCTGTCCCTTTTGACCTGAAGTAGGAAATAGTCTCAGAATCACCAGTTAGGCTACATTACAGAAATAATTATTCCTCAGCTCCTTAAACTGAATGGGGGGTTAAGTAATGTGTCCTCCCACTCTGAAAAATAGTCTCCAGTAAAACGATAGGAGAAAAGAGTATAGTTGCCAGAAATGTTTGTGGCACAGATGCCACTTTCGACTCATATTTTGTTGTAAAGCTTGAAATACTGAAGAGTTTCCAATTCAGCAGGCAAAAGTGACCAGAGGACAATAAACTTTCCAGGGTCATCTGAGCTCCCACTCCTTTCCACCCAGCCTCTTCCTCTCTTCCCAACTGACTGTCTTTCTCACTCAGGTGCCTCAGTCCTGTACAGCTCTCAGTTGGAAGAAGAGGAAGCAACATCTGGTCAAGATGGGTGAGGGAGGGGTACAGTTTATGGCTGGGTTTGGAGCTAATGCCTGTAATTGTTAACTATCCATTAAAAAGGAGGAAAGATATATTTAAAATGCATCTTTTTTATTGCCTCCCCATTCCCATTCACTTTTCTTAAACCAACTCTGTAAATAGAGGCAGAGAGATTTTGTTTTTCAATTTGGTAGTTGGTGATGTTGTGACACTTGAGCCTACAAATTTACCCAGATTGTGAGCTTAACTGTAAAAAGTATGTAACAATTCATAAAATGTTACGATAACCAAAAATAGCAAATGTTGAAGGGCACAGTACAAAAGGAATGCAAAATAACTCTGTTAGTCTAAACAAAATATCTAAGTCAGTATAATTCAAAAAAATGTGTTTTGCTACCCCTCACTTTTTGGGTCCTTAAAAGAACGAAATTTTGTGGGGAAAGTACAAAAGAGTTTTTAAAAAGCACACTTGAAAGAACAGACAAAGGCTACTGAAGCAAGCTTCACTATCATGGCTGCCACTTCCTCTATTTCTTGGGACCCCAGGCCTTCCTTATCCTGATCTTCAGAAATGTCCTGACCAGACCAGGCCAGGGGGAGAGAGAGGGAGCCAGTTTACAACCCAGATACCACCTGGGATGAAAGAACTTTAACAGCAGCAGCAATAAAAACAGTTAGAGCCCATGTCAACTAACATCTTCTCTTTTTTCTAAAAATGAACAGTTATTACCATCTTTAATACCATCTAAGAGACTGTCAAACAAGGAGTTTTTTCTTTCTAAAACTCTCTCCAACTAAAGATATAGAAAACAAAAAATGTTAAAACGAGAGCCCTGTTTAATACTGTACATTTCAAAGGTTTTAACTGTTTCTCCTTCTTTTCTAGATCTTTAATAAAAGGTTAAAAAGGTTTTTAATAGTATATTTGCCATGGTGCTAAGCAGGCTGAGGTCTCTGTACACCAAACCCCAGACCTTGTTTAAAACTGTTTAATATTAGGCAGTAACTTAGTTACATTAACACCTCTGGCCCATTATTCCTTCTAAATTAATATAACTGTGTACAATTGTTACATCATCAAGAAATCCCACCTGGCCAATCAGAGTGCACCCTGGACAATGATTGCCCAAAACCAGATTCTAGAGTCCAGCTCCCTCTCCCTTTGCTGTGTTGGCTCTCCAATACTACCAGGAGTAAAAAACTGTACAATCCTATTCCAGTCTCTAAAGTCAGCAGCTCTGCACCTTATTGCCTAAGTGATTTTTGAAAATGGGACTTAAGCTGTGCTAAATTGCTTAAGCACTTTAAAAAAATTGTGCCTGTAGTCTCTTTGGTCAATTTAGAAAATGCGTGAGGCTGAGTTTGTCCGTATTATGGCATCTTAGGTATTTTGGTGTAGGGCTATGTAATTATCAAAGTTTCTTTTCTTTTCTGTAGAAAGTACACCTGTACGCACTTCTGATGTGGATTATCGACTGTTAGAAGCGTCCAAAGCAGGAGATTTGGAAACTGTGAAGGTAGGTTTGTCTAGGTGATACTTGTAGGATGGAAAGTATTACTGAGCAAGATCTTCTCTGCTAGGAGAAGGTGCAATGACCTAAAAATCAAAAGGGAATCCTACAAAAAGTGGAAAAATGGACAGATTGCTAAGGAGGAATACAAAAGAATAGCATAAGCATGTAGGGACAAAATCAGAAAGGCTAAGGCAAAAAATGAGTTACACCTGGCAAGGGACATAAAAGGCAATAAGAAGTTTGTTAAATACATTAGGAGCAAGAGAAAGATAAAGGAAAGTGTAGGTCCTCTACTTAGTGGAGAAGGAGAACTAATAATTGATGACATCAAGAAGGCTGAGGTGTTTAATGCCTGTTTTGCCTCAGGGTTCACTAAAAAGGTTAATGGTGACCAGATCGTCAACACAATTAAAATTAACAAAAAGGGGGAAGAAACACCAGCCAAAAATGGGGAAAGAACAGGTTAAAGAATATTTAGATAGGTTAAATATATTCAACTCTACAAGGCCTGATGAAATTCATTCTAGGGTACTTAAGGGACTAGCTGAAGCAACCTTGGAACCATTAGCAATTATCTGTGAGAGCTCTTGGAGGATGGAAGAAGTCTCAGAGGGCTGGAGAAAGGTTCTATTGTTTACCCATCTTCAAAAAGGGGAACAAAGAGGAGCTGAGGAATTATAAATCAGTCAGTCTTACTTTGATACCTAGAAAAATACTGGAACATTTGTAAAAAGAAAAGGAGTACTTGGGGCACCTTAGAGACTAACAAATTTATTAGAACATAAGCTTTCGTGAGCTACAGCAAGCTCTAATAAATTTGTTAGTCTCTAAGGTGCCACAAGTACTCCTTTTCTTTTTACGGATACAGACTAACACGACTGCTACTCTGAAACCTGTCATGGAACATTTGTGAACACCTAGAGGATAATTGGATTATAAGAAATAGCCAGCATGGATTTGTCAAGAACAAATCTTGCCAAAACAACCTAATTTCCTTCTTTGACAGGGTAACCGGCCTAGTAGATGGGGGGAAGCAATAGATGGGATATGTATCTTGATTTTAGTAAGGCTTTTGACTCAGACCATTTGAAATTTTTATAAGTAAATTAGGGAAATGCGATCTAGATGAAGTTACTATAAAATTGGTGCAAAACTGGTTGAATGACCGTATTCAAAGAGTAGTTATCAATTGTTTGCTTTCCAACTGGGAGGATGTATATAGTGGAGTCCTGCAGGGATCAGTCCTGGGTCTGGTATTATTCAATATTTTCATTAATGACTTGGATAGTGGAGTAGAGAGTATGCTTACAAAATCTGCAGATGACATGAAGCTGGGTTTTGAGCATTTTGGAGAATAGGATTATAATTCAAAATGACACTAACAATTGGCTAATTCGTCTGAATTCAGTAAGATGAAATTCAATAAAGATAAGTTCTTTGCAGTACTTCATGTACGAAGAAAAAATGAAAGGCACAACTAGAAAATGGGGAATAACTGGCTAGGTGGTAGTATTCCTAAAAAGGATCTGTGATCTACAAACTGAATACGAATCAACAATCTGGTGCACGGGAAGTAATTGTCCCACTCTGCTCAGCACTGTTCAGGCCTCAGCTGGAGTACTGTGTCCTATTCTGGGCACCACACTTCAGGAAAGATGTGGAGCAGTTGGAGAGAATCCAGAGGAAAGCAGCAACAACGACCAAAGGTTTAGAAAACCTGACCTAGGAGGAAAAGTTTAAAAAAAAAAAAAAAGAAGGGAAGGGGGGGCTGTCTTGAGAAAAGAATCTTTAAATGTGTTAATGGCTGTTATAAAGAGGACTGTGATCGGTAGTTCTCTATGTTCACTGAAGGTAGAACAAGAAGTAATGGGCTTAATCTGCAGCGAGAGAGATTTAGGTTAGATATTAGGAAATTTTTCTAACTATAAGGATAATGAAGCTCTGGAATAAGCTCCCAAGAGAGGTTGTAGAATCCCCATCATTAGAGATTTTTAAGAACAGGTTGGACAAACACCTGTCAGGGATAGTGTAGGAATACTGGGTTCTGCCTCAGCTTACGGGGCTGGACTGGATGACTTCTCAAGGTCCCTTCCAGCACTACATTTCAATGATTCTGTGATCTTGGTTCTGTCACTGGTTTCATTTAAATGTTCAGAAATGTTGTTTTTCCTTGTTCCTGTGGAATGACCCCACTCTCCCATGCTTGGGCACTTGTGCACATGAGAGTTCAGGCACACACTCAATAATGTGATCATTATACGGTGTTTTCCCTACCTAACCACTGTTTCTTCCATTAACTGTGGAATGCAAAGGGTCCGTGAGCAAGTATTCATTAATGCCAGTGCCTGTAAGTGTGGTGACCGTACATAATTTGTTTTAGATAAAAGAACAGCCACAAAAGTCAGATCTGGCACATGGTACGTACCATAATTATGGTTTAAATAGAATTTCTCTTTTCAGTGTTCTCCACCAATCCAGACATTTGGAATTATAGTTCCTCCCAGCCATCTGATGGAGACAAAGCACACATGCTTTTGAGAATGTCACATATAAGGGTCCAGATATCCCTTAGCCATTAGTAGATTGAGCACACTGTGTCCCCCTAGCAGGCTGCCAGAGGAGAGAGAGAAGTAGGTCCTTGAGATCTAAAGGAAGCCACATGGCACACTTTGGTCTGTGGCTGCCATAGTAGCACATATGAGTCACTGAAAGCCAGTGAGCCTTAGCCCCTCGTGCAGGGCTGATGAGAAGGGGAGAAGAGGAGACAATTATACTGAGGCCCCAAGCTCAAGGGGGCCCTAAAATGTCTTTAACAAGGGTGAAATGGGAGTGAAATTGGAGGGGAGGGGTCCCAGAAAACATGATGAACAGGGGCCCCAATTTTTTCTCGATGGGCTTGCCCATGTGTAACAGGGAAACCCCCACACCTTTGCTAGCATATCCAGACCCTAGCAAGAGAATGAGGCCCCAGTCCAGGGCTGGGCTCCAATTCTGCTAGCATTGCCAGACCCTCCTCCTGCATGAAGTGCCAGGGCAGCTTGGACTTGAGAGGGGTGAACAGGGCCAAGTATCCCCTCAGAAAGCCCCGAAGAGGTAGGAGGCGCCACACCAACTCTTTAGGGCAGGAAGGGATTCAGGAGCCCCACAACAGGATGACTGCTCCTTGGACCCCAGTATCTGCAGCTCCCAGGATAAAGAAAAGGAGTAGAAAACGGACAGACCAAACTCTGCCCCTTCCTTGGGCAGGTGCAGCACTTGCCTTGAGGAGGGACACTGGTCCTAGGAAAGCCCCCTGTAGCTTTCATAGTCATGTCTTGGTTTGAGCTGCAAATTGAACTTTCTTGGACCTTGAGCACCTTCCACCATACCCATGCCAGCTGATGAGCAGGTCTAGCACCAGTCTTCTTCCTGCAGAAGATTTGCTCTCCACCATGGAGCAGGGAGTGTACCGCCAGCTGCAGCCCCGGGAATCAGCTTCCCACACACACACCATTGCCAAGCAGACTGGGGGCAGAGAGGAGAAGCTGCTCCAGCTGTTCTTAACAACACTTTAGTCCTCATAGAAAATGCGGGATGGGAGTATCTTGCTGGTGTGTAGCTCTGCCTGCAGATGCTCACCAAACCTCGTCAGATCAGAATTCCAGCTCCCACAGGGGCAGGTAGGAGATTAAGGACAAAGAGCAGCCACCATTCTGGGTTACCCCTGAGAGGTGAAAGGGATGAGCTAAGGAAAGAAAGCAATGTGCTCTTCCCTCTCCATGCCCCCAACTGACTGTGCCCAGCTTGGCTCCACGTGGGCGGAGACGCTGAAGAAGAGAAACCTCTACAGCTGTCACTTGGAACAGGACCACACCTCCAGCTGCCTCCTCCTATTCCTCCTCGTAGGGCTCCCCTGCTGTTCAGTCCGGACTTCACGAAGATTTGGGGCTCTGCCTTCTGGTCTTTAAAGAGCAAGCCAAGACAGAGACAACAGGAAGAGTGCAGCCCCCATCCATTCCATTGCAGAGAAGAAATAGCTGAGTCCTGGTCACAGAATACCACTCAAGATGTCAGTCCAGTCAGACACCACTCAAGTCTGCAAGGCCTAGCTGAGGAGGAGGTCGAGCAGTGAGAAATAGGCTTCCCCAATCTTAAGAGAAGGCTGAACCCCTTACAGAGGGGACCAGCCAGTAGCGTAGCTGGGGGGAGCGGGGCAGCGGCCGCTCTCCCACCGAGCAGAAGTGGGGCCTTTTTAATTTTTACTCGCGCGGCGGGTCAGGCGGTGCTCCGGGTCTTCAGCGGCACCCGCTTGTATTCATCCGACCGCACTTCGGGTCTTCCGCGTCGGGTCCTTCACTCGCTCCGGGTCTTCGGCGGCATTTTGGCGGCGGGGGGTCCAAGTGAAGGAGCTGACGCCGAAGTGCCACCAAAGACCCGGAGCGCCACCGAGTGAGTACAAGCGGGTGGCGCCTTTTTTTATCTCCACTCCCCCTGTTTTCTCCACCTGGGTACGCCACTGGGACCAGCCAACATTTAGAGGTTGGCATGTACTTGGGAGGTATTTGCTGGGGCCAGGGAACTTTTATCCTCCTCTTACAGGGCTCTACCTCTATGTTGGAGTAGAGACTAGGGCACCCTAGACAGAAAACCAGCCCAACAAGGCTCTTTGACCTCTGGGTGTCAGACATGGAGGTGCTCCTTTAGAGCCTGAGGGATGGGTGCTGCCATGTCAGAGGTGGAAAGAGAACAGCAATCCCTCTGGAAAGAGAAGTAGCTCTCAAAGATCTTCTTGACAAATGAGGTATGCCTGACAAGGTCCTTCATAGTTACTATAGCTTCAGTACATGCGACATGCACCTCCCATGGGGCAGTGAGGTGCCTACTGAAGCTTGGAAGGTTTCCAGAGGCCAGAAATGAGAGCTCTGAGCAGGCCAACACTCTCCCAGTTATGCACTCGAATATGTTGTCCATGTATTACACCATACAGGATATAATCCTATCAATGGGAGCCTTAGCAGAGGGCC